CTCCCTCTTTTCAACCCCACTCCCCCTCTTCTTAATCCCTTCCCCCCCTTCTCAATACCTCTCCCCCTCTTCTCAATACCTCTCCCCCTCTTCTCAATACCTCTCCCCCTCTTCTCAATACCTCTCCCCCCTTCTCAATACCTCTCCCTCTCATCTCAACCCCTACCCCTAAAAGCGTAATAAGGAAAAAAGATTCACTTGATATTGGAAATCGTTGATTAAACATGGTGCAGTGTATTTAGAAGTATATCATGAGAGAAATGGAAATCAATGATGAAAACACAAGTTTTCTGAATATATGATGTTTTTAAAGGACAATTGTGAAAATCCATTCACGGAGTACACAAATCAGGAATCAAATTAAATCTACAGCGATAAGCAGTTAAGTCACTTCTCTTGAATTTGAACCGTTGTCGGCGGACAAGAGGAATAGATAATAGAAATCTAAAGAATGCATGGCTCTTTCAATTACACTTTTTGAACTAAAGCTTAATACAATCGTATTGCAGTTTTTAAAATTAACATGATAATTAGTAAGAATATATTACAACATTGCAAAGTGGAACCAGTCTATAAAATGAATGCAAATTGCATGTTGCTCATTGGATCTCTGTTAATATACATGGAAGACAACAAGAAACTCAGATTACTCGAAAGATTGTTGCAATTACATTGAATTAATTAATTAAAGATGTTGTTGACTATTTAAAATGAGTTTCGCTTCGTAAACCATGTGCTTGAACACCATTTTTTTTGGCAAAGCAAGAAAATCCATTTTTACGGCACGTTTGTAGGACAAGGTTCATAAAGCGTGTACGCTGCTTTGTTGTATGAATTATGAATTATGAATTTCTGACCTTGCATATTTTCAAAATATGATCGATTTTTCTATCTAAATTTTTATTTCAATTTTAATCTAAAGATTTATCTAAAAGTAATTATGTTTGATATTTTTTTGCCAGGAAAAACAATTATCTCTTGACAATGCCATGAAAGGTCTGAAATTAATTTGAATTTAATTGTGTATAATTCATGATTTTTAAAGTTTCAAAAATCAAAATTATTGAATTTTTGTTTTAGGTTTTGTAAAAAATGAATTTAATACTCAAATATTTTTTAATCTTAGATTTTGAGTAACTTGTCTTAAGTGAAAACATTTGATTCTGAACTGATCCGAAAAAACCCATATAACATTTATAAATATATACTATAAGTTAAACAGACTATGAAACGTATATTACAGCTAGAGCTGGGGCTCGTTACAATTTACAAGATTTGTCCAATTTTTTGTGGGACCTCACGTGACCCCAAGATGAGGTTTATATACGGTCAAAATTAAAAACAAATTTTTCTGAAAAAATGTTGATGGTTACGATAGTTACAAAAAAATCCGCGAACATTTTTGTTTGTTGAAGTACAATGAAAAATGGCGACGTAAACATTAACAGTAAAAAAGTTAAAAGCTCCAATTGTAAGCATAAAAGCTTGCTCCCTAAAATCCTGAAGACCAGGTTTTAATTAATGTCGTTAAAATTCAAACAATTTTAAGTGGTTGAGTTAACAAAATTTGTCCACATACGTTTATAAAAGAAAAATATGCACAGGTCTAATTATATTTTATCTATCTTATCCATCTTATCCATCTTATCCATCGTATCCATCCTATCCATCCTATCCATCCTATCTATCATTAATCTGAGCTATCAAAACCAATATAGTCTAAGGAACTACTAAGACTGGGAAAAGCATAATTTATGCATTTTGTTTTACATAAGTAGATATGCTTACTAATGCAAATATATTGTACAGGGTATCCCACATCATATATTTAGATCATTTACATCTCTAAATTGCGATTTTTGGTAGAAAATAGAATCATTGAAAAATTCTATAAGGCTAATATAAAATTTTGTATGCAGAAAATGCTAGGTTTTCGAGTATTCCGTGCGTATTTTGGCGTTAAAGCTTGGAGATAATCCAATATGATATGGGACGCTCTGTATAGGCATATATATAATATGTAGATATATGTAGAAATTTAGTTTCATCAAGATATTTTTATCAAAAGTTATCTTGTTGAAATTTTTTAAGTTTCCAGCGCGTGTACTTTTTAAATGAATCTTTTGTAGACAATGCATATGCATGCATGAAATGAATATGCAGCGTTTTAAAACACTCTCCACTCTTCGGTAAACTTTTTTTGGGTAAGTTTACTGAAAAAAAATTTTAAAATTTTGATAAAGAATAATCAACATATAAAATTTTCTTAATTTACTTTACTTTACTTTATTTTAAAACTGCCAAATTAAGTAAAAAAAAGTACAATGTCACTTAAAATAATCTCAAAAGTTGATGGAGGAATGGATTGAGGAGGTGTGATGGGGGGGGGGGGGCAGGGGGAGAGGGGGGGAAGGGATGGAGAGAGGGAGGGTAAATACTACATCTCTTGTCTGATCTCTATAATCTATTGAGTAGAAAACTAGTATAATTAACTAAACGGTTCCCTTTATACTTCTATTCTCTCTTCTCGAGGAAAATCCAGGGAATCCAGGTGTCTAGGAAGGGTCATTTTTTCTCTGCTTAAACTCCAGGGTTATATATTTCTAGAGTTCCAGCATATCCTACACTGCTGGAAGAAATCCTATTGTCGGGTTAAAAATATCGAAATTGACTTCACACAGTTCGACCTGGTGAACACTCTGTAAAAATCGGCGAACACTTTTTTCTCCTCTTTCGCAGAAAATAATGCTGTTCACTTCTGACTAGCTTGTCCAGTTCATACTTCAAAAATAAAAGAAGTAAATCAGATGATTTTTTTTGAAAAAAGTATTCTTTGAACCTTAATATAAAGACACACAGAGATAGTAGAAATCAGTAAACATTTTCAAACATGAGTGTCATTAAGCATATATATATATATATATATATATATATATATATATTAGTAGAAATAATTAGAAATTAGTAAAATTATAAAGACTGTAATTATGATTTCAAGTGTCTTTCCATTTAAAGATTTCACCGGTACACTCTAAACCTAAATCTGATCAATAATGTGGAAAATGTGAATATCTCATTCATTCTTAATTAGAAAAATTGTACCGTTGTGAATCGAACATCCCAGTTCATAAATAGGAGGTCACCTGACATCACTTGACATCACTTGACATCACTTGACATCACTTGATATCACTTGACATCACTTGACATCACTTGACATCCCTTGACATCCCTTGACATCACTTGACATCACTTGACATCACTTGACATCACTTGACATCACTTGACATCATGGATAGTATATTGAACTATTCTGTGATTATACCTAATCTATGGATCATATACTGAACTATTCTGTGATTATACCTAATCTATGGATCGTATAATGAAATGTTCATGTAAAAAGCTTAATGTTTCCCTTTAATGTGTAATGTCGGTAATGTCTTCCTGGAATTCTTTCAAACTTAATCTCAGGCTAAATTCAATTTTTCAATCTGTCACGCGCGCAAATTAATTTTTCACAAATAATGCGGGGAGGGGTTGGTGCGCACATACTTTTTACCATTCTTTTTCTTATCAGATATTTTTTGGTGCATTTTTTAATATTATATTTTATATTTTCCGGTGTATTCTGGCAAGGAGGAAAATGTAGATGTTGTAAGGTTTGCGCAGAGCATACATAATTTGTTTATTTCGTTTAAACAACATGAGAGAATTGTGTATTGGTGCTGTGTATAGTGTACGTATACAAATATCTTTTAGTGAACAAATAAATAAAAAAGGACATTGATGCTAGAATGTGTTATATACATACATATTGTACCTCTATTTGTAGAAAGGAATGTCCGAATCACAACAGATTAAGTTTCTCGACGTAGTTTGCCCACAATGTTTAGCGAGAAAAACAGGGATTTCTCCATCGTCGAATATCAGACAAATGTTTTTATGAACCATTGGGAATTGGACATGCCACTCTATAAATCTGTTGATGGATATAAACATTAGAATGGATATCTGGATATTACCTGTCTCTGAGCTAGGGTTTAGATATCCCACTGTATTTGCCAATGGATATAAACATGAGAATGAATATCCGGATATTACCTGTCTCTGAGCTAGAGGTTTGGATATCCCCCTGTATCTGCCTATGGATATAAACATGAGGTGTAGGATGGATACAGAACAGGCGAGAACATCACATGTCTGGTAGAAGATACACCAGAGTTCTGATAAAGGCCAGGAACCTCCTGGAGCAAGGAACAAGTTAAAATGGCGTCAATACTCTATACTGCTTTCTCCCACGTGCACCCTTGGCGTACTTTTTTAACTGAAGTTTTCTTAGAATTTTTTTGTTTTTCAAAAATTACGGAACTGTATAGTGTATATATATACTAAACATATTAAATCTTAAACCATTTTGAAGGTGTAATAGGACCACATTTTCGAAATCCTAGGACAAGAGAAATAAAGTACTCCTGCTTTCTGGGTATTAGTAAAATCAGATTTACGAATTAAAGTTGCGAAAAAGAATTCGAATTAATGGATGCATGTATTTGTATTTTGTAATATTCTACCAAACGTTTTTTGCGCATTCTTAGATATACGTTTTGAAAGTTAATGAAGAACAAAAGTAGAATGAAATGGGAATGGGATTTGGTTATTTGATATATCTACTACAACAGCTGATTAAAATTAGAATTATTTTTGTTGAAGGTACAAAATCAGTCTGATCATAGTTTGAAAATGTTTTGCTATATTATTATTTTAATTAGATTCGTTGTTATTCTAGATATTTTTGGCAACCTCGCGTGATTATAGAATGTCATGTTGGGTTAAGATGAATATATACACACGCGAGGTTGCACCAAAAATTTTCCACTGTACTTTTACTCAGATTTCAACGGAAAATATAAAAATAGTTTTCACTTTTTAATATTTATTCTTTATCCTTCTTTTTTTGTCCTAAACTCCTTTATACATTGTTAGCTTTAATTTTTCAGCTATTTATTTAGTCTAATTTGTTCATCAACAAACTTCAACAAATATACTTTTTCTGAATACCTTTCCAGCCTGCGAGGCCCCTCAATATCCAATTAAAATTAGTGCTTACTAAACATTCTTTTAGAAAAAGATATATTAATAGTCTGGAATTAATTTCAGAGAGAAACTAACCAAATATAGAAACTTTATTTAATTTTTTCTCTTATTTATAATTATATCAAATATGATGTGAATTAATTCGTATTTTTGGGAAATAACGGTTAGCAGCAAAGGAATTGAATCTTTGGCACAAACTATGATTTTCTAATGTCTATACCTTTGCAACCCTGTGTCGGAGATCTTAGATTTTTCAAAATATGAATTATATTTCATCAAACAGTTAAAGTTTGAAATATCAACGATTTTCATCATCAGGTGGCAAAGATATAGGGATTATTAAGACTTAATTATGGTTGCTAAACATAGTTAAAGAAAAACTACCAAGGTTTGATTAACTCCAGGTTATAGGTTTGATCTTACCATTAAATATTACCATTGCTCCGAATGGCATAACAACCATAGAGACCAATAGATCTGCTACTGCTAGAGACATCAGGAAATGATTTGTCATGTTCTGCAGTTCTCTACAATAGAATAGAGTTGATTTGCTGAAAATGATCCGTCATGTTCTACAATATAATAGAGTTGATCTGCTGAAAATGATCAGTCATGTTCTACAATAGAATAGAGTTGATCTGCTGAAAATGAACAGTCATGTTCTACAATATAATAGAGTTGATCTGCTGAAAATGATCAGTCATGTTCTACAATATAATAGAGTTGATCTGCTGAAAATGATCAGTCATGTTCTACAACAGAATAGAGTAGATCTGCTGAAAATTATCAGTCTGCATGTTCTACAATAGAATAGAGTCGTTTCTAAATAATTAGACTTTACTATTGGGAAGATAAGACCTTTAAGAAAGAAATTGAGTCTTTGCTACAAATTTTGATTACCTTATCTTTCTATATCTTTTCAACCCAATATCGTAGACCTTTGATATTTCAAACTATAAATTCTGTTGGATAAAAAATCTAAGTTTAAAATATGAAAGGTTAACGACGATTTAAAATTTTTAGTTTGTGGCAAAGACTTAATTCCTTACAATTAAAAAATTTTAATAAAAGGGTTCCATGACTGATTCTCGATGGTACCCAGTAAACCTGTATCTGAGTATCAAAGAGAAATATATCATACTTTCTAAATCTTAAAAAGTGTTAAACATGAATCCGAAATTCACTTTTACAGAGAAACAAGTATCAAATTATCAATTTTTAGTATAAAAGGATATCTGTAAAACATGTTGCTCAAACGAAGGTTAAAATAAGAATCAGGCTTTAAATTGAATGTGTTGAGAGTCTTTTTAGTCTGCACCTAAACATAGTTTACTCAATATTTGTAGGACTAAGACTGTAATTAATGATTAAGAACGCGGGACAACAGAAGCTGAATTGTATTGGCAGAGAATTAATCTGAATCATTAGGACCAACATGTTTCTGGGAAAACAAAAAACATCAAGCTTTTTATATGAAAATTCTGCCTCTTTATTACAAATCCAATTTTTTAAAAATGTTCTCAAATACTAAAAATTCTAATCTTTACTTGTTTGTAGATATTGCAAGGCAGACCAGACAGTTGCCAAATATTCCCGCCAAAATGAGACAGCTGATAAGCGGTATAGGCCAGTACTCAGCAGAATCAGCTGACAGTTCACCATCTTGAGAAAAAAATAATGATTTGGGATATTTAATTAATTCCTAAGATTTCAAATGACAAAAATTACAAATGGAGTCATCAATAGTTTAAATTTTATTTGATCATCTTCAAGATGCCGCTTTCAGCATACAAATTAGTTATTCGTTTATAACAATAAAGTTAATAAGAACAAGAAACCGTATCTCTTTTCTTATTTTTCTTTTCGTTCGTGTCTTAATCATTAATCAGGGATCTATGGAAACAAAGTATTGTATTTGTGTTATTTCTATTAATAGTGTATAACAGTATATTATTTTATACATAATATATTTTATGATAATGGATATACTCTAGTTTAATCATTTTTATTGAATCGTTAAGAATTCCAAAATTATTTATATATTTGATATTAGTTGAGAGATGAACCTCCCTATTTTCTGATAAATGGTGGAAATTAAAGAGATAGTTTCCTTGGATCTCATTAATCATATACTTTTGTACTTTCAAACTAACAGGAAAAAGATTTTCCGAGAGCCTGCAGCCAAATTTGTCTTTATCCTTCATCTGATGTTGATTGTTATCATATTTAATTAGAGATGGTATAACTCACATTGCTCCAATCTTTGCATGATTCTAGCCCATACATCATACAGGGTGTCCCAAAAAACATGGGAATTCAGTGACGAATTGGATATCGTCTTTGTTATGAATTAGCATTGTAATACCTAATTTCAAAAACCATACTATTATTATGTCTGCTAGAGTTTATTTTATGAAAAGGGTAAAAGACTGTAAAGATGTGTCTATAATGTCTCCTTAAGATGAACAGTGAATACGGACAAGTTTACTCTGTTTGTATACTGAAATTTTCTTGTTTTACTAAGTACAACCGAATGCAGTCAAAACATAAACAAACAAAATGCGAACATAGCAGACGAAACTCTTACAAATTACAGCTTTCTCAGTAGGTATCACTATACTAAATCCAAGAATTATCTAAGAAGATGATATCGAATTCGTCACTGAATTTCCATGTTTATTGGGACACCCTGTATGTACTTTATAATTCAGTAGTACTGCCGAATTTATGGACTTAAAAACTACAAATCGGTTCAGATAAGTTCTTTCCTCTCTCATTGGTCAAAATTTAATTTATTTTTGCTCATCAAAAACTACGAGGATCCAATACCCAATATTACTAGTTTTTAGAATAACACGTTTATACAAATGTTTGGAAGTTTTCCTTTCAACCTTTTTTCTCCAATTAAAATAAGATTTCTTTCATTTTCTATTGTATACTTTTTTGTTGCGCAGACGTTCTGAAGTTAAAGGTACATTCTTGATCGACAGAAATGCAACTAATTAGGTAATCCCAAACATTTCCGGAGCTTCAAACTTTAGAATTGTGGATATTGAGATTAATACTTAATCTCCTCTTTTGTTAATCTTCAAATTATTATAATCTTAAACCACTAAACTGACTAAAATTCTACCAATATGGAGTGTACCAAAAAAGAGGATTAAGAAAACAATATTCAGATTAAGCGGGTTATCCAATTCTAAAGTTTTCAGCTCGGATTATATTAGTTGCTTTCATTCATACCTATACTATAAAAGCCTTCAACCATTTCAAAAGATTTTATTTTTAAAATGTTTTTTTTTCCTGAACTCCCAAAATGCGCAAATCCTTTGACGCCTATCTGTCCAGTAATTGCTAACAATTATTTCCTGTATTTTCTTCTCTTTCCCTAGATTGGATAGAAGTATTATATTGGATAGAATTGTATACAGTATAATCAGTTTGAGGAAGGGAGGGCAGGCAGTCGCAACATTTTTTCGCCCGGCCCGTAAATGATTTCACAAACTCAACTTCTAGGTAGTGGCAGCTAGACATGGACGCGTTCGGCTTTTTTCTTTTCGTTCGTTCATTGTTCGGAAACGACCCATTTCGTTCTTTTTTTTTACTCGCTCAAAAAAGAATAATGATGTCGTTCGTTCTCAAAATTATCGTTAATTTTGAAAAATCTGCAGTTCAGGAAACAAACTATCTTTTTAAAAATATGTTCCAAAAAATCGTTCGTTCAAAACAAACGATCGTATTGTTTAAATCTTTTGGATTTTTTTCATTTAGTAAAAAAACGTTCATTTTTTCAAGATCTTTCGAACAATTTCAAATCGTTCCTTTTTGTTGTTTTTTCGTCCGTTTTTCAAAAACGATGGTTTTTCATTTTCTCTGAGCGATTAAAGTCAATCATCCATTGTTCAATTTTTTCCTGAACGACACCACTTTTCTTAAAATCTTCGTTCGTTCACAAAAAGATGCCCATCTCTAGGTAGTATACTTACATATTTGTCTTTCGAACCTCAATTTTTTTCGTCAGGAATCATTTCTGTGTTTCCAAATGTAGTTTTCCATACATTTTTTCAAATCTTAGGCGACGCCATAACATCAAATTTGGTTTGGTTTTGTCCGTGATGAACTTAGTTTGCAAAACAAAATGGTTTTAGAACATTTGTAGCAAAACTTTGAAAATAAAAAATCTACATATTTAAAGTTTGTATAAATGCCGAATCAATAAAGGTGCGGTGAGCCTTCCCTTCCTCGTTGGGGGCGGTAGGAATCAGTTCCTGGTGTAATCCTAATCCATTAAAGCTAGGTCCCAATATCACCATACTAAAAGAACTGGAGAAAATAGAAAGAATAAACACCAGGAGTCACGTGTATCCAGCTAGAGCGATATTTTGTCAAAATCCATCTAACAAAGCGTGATCGACCTTGTTATAGTTAAAAGTAAAGTCAAGGAAAGAAGGAAAAGTTTGAAATTGGTTTAATGAGGATAAAAAAATCGTGTTTTTAATTTAAAATCAGTTTTGTCAAGAACAAAGTATAATTTTAGACTTTCCTGGAGCTCAGTGCTCACTACTAAAAAGTCTTTATAGTCATAAATCGTTAAAGTAGTAGTCTCTCTTTGTTTGTTAGCATTTTCGATCATAACTCAGGCACCCTTGACTGATTTGCCTTAATTTTTAATTGATAAACTTGGTAGAAAAACTGGAATGTTGAAATCTTGGTTTAAACAGTCTAAATTGAGTGGGTTGACTTTTATGGAAAACCTAAGTTCCAGGCAAAGCTGTGTTACCTACCATTTACTAAACAAACCTACCTTCTACTAAACCTACTGCATCTACTAAACCTACCATCTACTAAACCTACCATCTACTAAACCTACCTTCTACTAAACCTACTGCATCTACTAAACCTACCATCTACTGAACCTACCGTCTACTGAACCTATCTTTTATTTACAAAACCTATTATCTTCCAAACCTACAATCTGCTAAACCTTCCATATACTAAAACTACCATCTACTAAACCTACCATCACTACACTTACTTTCTACTAAACCTGCCATCTACTAAACCTACCATCTACTAAACCTACCATTTACTAAACCTGCCATCTACTAAACCTACCATCTACTAAACCTACCATCTTCTAAACCAACTATCTACTGAACCTACCATATACTGAACCTACCTTCCACTAAACCTACTATCTACTAAATCTACCATCTACTGAACCTACCATCTACTAAACCTACCATCTTTTAAACCTACCATCTACTAAACCTACCATCTTCAGAACCTACTATCTACTAAACTTACTATTTATTAAACCTACCATCTACTAAACTTACCTTCTACTGAACCTGCTGCATCTATTAACCCTACCGTCTACTGAACCAACCTTTTACTAAACTTACCATCTACTAAACCTACCGTTTACTAAATCTACTAGCTGCTAAATCTACCATCTATACTAAATCTTCCACCTACTAAATCTACCATCTGTACTAAATCTACCATCTTCTAAGCCTAGCAATCCTACCATTAATAAATTTACCATATATTCTAAACCTACCATTTTCTAAATCTACCTAAAATTAGGCTAAATGGGCATGAATTGAATTCCCTCTGGACCAATATACAAGGTGTCTCTGGGAAAAGTTAAGCATATTGCATATAAACGACTTAAAAACTAAAATATTAGACTGTTTTTTAAAATCCGAACGAACTGGTATTCTTAATTTTTGTCCTTACATCTTTTCTTAAATCTTGAATTTTTGTCCCACCCTGTATTCTTTGGTAATAAATAAACATGTATATTCTATAAAGCTTTCAGACCTAGAAGTATTCAATATTATTATATCTACTGTTTTCTTTTCCTAGATTCCTGAGTACAAGCATATTGTTGAGTTTACAAGAAAAACAAGATATAATTGTTCAATATTTTGGTCAGACCTAATCACTGTACATTGTACATTTTACCATTTACACTGAACTATTTACACTGTTCAATGTACAATTTATACTTTACACTTTACACTTTACACTGTACATTGTACATTTTACCATTTACACTGAACTATTTACACTGTACATTGTACAATTTACACTTTACACTTTACACTGTACATTGTACATTTTACCATTTACACTGAACTATTTACCCTGTTCAATATACAATTTACACTTTACACTTAACACTTTACTCTGTACATTGTACATTTTACCATTTACACTAAACTATTTACACTGTACATTGTACAATTTACACTTTACACTTTACACTGTACATTGTACAATTTACCATTTACACTAAACTATTTACACTGTACATTGTACAATTTACCATTTACACTGAACTATTTACACTGTACACTGCACAATTTACACTTTACACTTTACACTGTGCACTGTGCACTTTACGCGGGATACAGATTACAGAAAGTGCATACACCAATATTGAAATATAGACATTTATAAATATTTTTTGTCTAAGATTTTGTTATTTTTCAATTTTTGCAAACGGTAGATTTAAGTTTAATGCTTTTCAACCAGATTTTTTAAATCTTTAAAGTTTTACAATCAAATTATTGTTGAAATATCAAATGTCTACGACATCAAATTATTGTTGAAATATCAAATGTCTACGACATCAAATTGCAAAAGTACAGAAATTAGAGGAAAAAAAGTGTTTAAAGTGACTAATCAGTTTCTGTACAGAACGGAGAGAACAAAGATCAAATATCAAGTTGTGAACGAGAAAACGATTTTCCAAACTAAGCTTTGAAAATTTCTAACTTCAACCCTACAGAAACCCAATGATGAATAATGAATAGGAATATTCAAATCATCTCAAATATTTCTGATGTTTTAGAATCGGTTTAAAAGGAAACAGTAAAGCTGGGGTTTAGACTTATCCTCCATTGATTTTAAACTGCACAGTCATGAAAACAAATCACCAATTTAGGAAGGATGTTCCGACCCTCAAATCTTTCTGTAGCCAAGAAATTGAAATTTTGTAGTGGGTGGAATGACTAAACTCGTTTGAAGCTTAAATTCATTTAACATTTGACAAAGTTTGGAGATTTGACCAATAAGAGATCAGGAATCTTCAATATGACCAATGATTTTACCAATGAGGGATCAGTAAAACTTCTCATGCGAAACAATAAGAAAAAAATGTTCTTGAGGATTAACATTGGCATATATATCTATATATTAAAATAAGACATTCGTATATATATATATGTTGCCTATAGACGGCCAAACGGCTGGACCGATTGAGCTGACATTTTTTGTGGACATTTAGGGGTGTTATAGGCTAAAGAAGTTCTAAATTTTTTTTTAAAACATTTTAAAAATTTTTTTTTTCCACGGGCAACGCCGGGCCCTTCAGCTAGTAGTATATATAGCTCTAGAAAAGTGAATTGTGAATTGTGAATGCGTGCAGTGCACTGCTGTGCACCATATATAAATAAGTAAACATAGATAGATGAAGTTAATTATGCAACTGCAAAAACTCTGCAGGCCTATCAATCAATCATGTACTTAATTTTTTTAATTATGCCAATTTTTGACATATTCATATGATGTCATAGAAGTACACTATAGAGGTAATCAGAAAGAATTTAAGTAATTATAGTTTAAATTTTTTTCTTTTAAAAGATCAATATGAAAAATGTTATAATTATTTTAAGTCTGCAAATGTTAAAGACAAGTTTCAAGAAATAACTCGGTTACAAAGTAATTGATTGCTTGCTTCAAACTCTAATTTTTATATCCCTTTATCTTTGCAATCTGATTTATGAAACCTTAATATTGCCAATATTGTGCATTAAAGGAACTGTAAATGTAAATTCAAGTGGTCCTCCATTGGTAGAGTGATATGTTCCATGTTCCATTGGTAGAGTGACATGTTCCATGTTCCATTGGTAGAGTGACATGTTCCATGCTCAAAAGTACCCTTGTAAGCTTTGTCTGATCAAGTATGAATTATCAACGTTTTTGTTTTGAAAACTGTTTTTTTTTTTGCTTTCTCTGCAGAAGTGCCATGCGCATTTCTGGCTTATCAATATAAACCCTTGTAAATTCAGAATGGTTTCGAGAGTATGGTTGTGAATCGGTGAATAGTGAAAGCCCAAAATATACAGGTTATTTTTGGGGATCAAATTGAAAATGGAAAAAATTGAAAAGTTGTAAAGCCATTTATGCATTGAGAGGAACGCGAAAAGAGATTGAAAATAAAGAAATAAAGAACTCTTAGCCAAAATGAATTCTGTAAAGTGTTTAGCAAGAAAAAGAAAATCAAGTTTTCATTAAAAAGAATGCATCTTCTAAGTCTATTTTACAATTTTCTCTTATCTCTCTGATAGCATTTTATGACATTAAATACAAAAGATTGAATATTTATTATTTTTATATTCTCTTACCCGAGACCGTCAGATTCATAGCTTCATTCATCTCTGTTACCAAAATAAAATATTAATTATGTTTAAATATAAATCTGAAATCTCAGAATCTTAAAAACTAATTAAAATTAAAAAAAAATATGGTTTGATAAAAACAAAGTTTTCATAAAGGAAATTGTAATCTAAATTTAAACCTTTTAACCATGAAGTTTAGAAAAACAAAATAAAGTACTTTAAAGTGATGGTGTACGTTATTTAAAGCGACCATATACTTAGATACATACATAACGTGTCGTAACTTTTTTTCAAAGCATTAAAGGGGCTGTAAAGGAAATATGAAAGGGGGTATAGGATGAAACCTGAGAAAGGAGGTATAAGATGAAACCTGAGAATCTCAGGCATTGAACGATCCATATAAGACATCTATCTGATGTTCCTGTCTCAAAACTGTGTCAAATTTATACGAAAATTCATATATGTGCAATTTTGTATAAAAGTTGTAGTATTAAACAGATCATATTCAACAAATACGCAACCAATCTGAAAACGATGATATCCCACAGGATTTTTAATAGATATAATTGATAATATAATTACATTTAGTTCGTATTACGTCATCAGAACTTCAGCCAATGGCAGTGTAGTAAACTGGTCACATGATTTCCGTACGCCTGAGATTCTTAGGTTTCATCTTATACCCCCTTTTCAGGTTTCATCCTATACCCCCTTTCATTTTTCCTTTACAGTCTCTTTAATGATAGAGTTCTATCTGTTTAGACTTTTCTCTCTGAAATACGTTATGATTCCTAAAAAATATGTCAGCATTAAGTTGTATTTACTTTTAATCTGGGCAAACCGCAAAATCTAAGAAAAAGTAATTTATGGATCTGGTTTTCAATACACTTTGCGTGCAGAAAACCTTTGTATCAAATTATAGTATATGACTAACTTTCGTTTACACTTGTTTTATGATGATAATAATGATTATGATAATACTGATGAAAATGCTAATGATATTAAAAATAATAATAATACTTGTTTATTGCAAGAAATAATGGACTTTCATAGTTTAATTTGTATAATGAAATATTGTTTGCATCGAGAGCAAAGTTTGTAACAACTAACATTAAAGGATTATGTAGAAAAGTCAAGGATTTAATGGTACTGGTAAATTAAATTTTATCACCAAACTCACTCTATACTCTGGAAATTCTACTTTACACACTTCTTGTACCGGCATAGCATTAAAAGAATATTTAATTGTACCAACCCACTTATTGTACCGACAAGAACAGATATAAATAGTTCAGCCCACATCTTGTACCAGTACGGAATATAGTAAATATGTAAATGTACTACAGCCCACATCTTGTACCGACACGGAATATAGTAAAAATATAAATATACCAGCCCACATCTTGTACCAGTACGGAATATAGTAAAAATGTAAATATACCAGCCCACATCTTGTACCAGTAAGGAATATAGTAAATATGTAAATATACCAGCCCACATCTTATACCAGTACGGAATATAGTAAATATGTAAATATACCAGTCCACATCTTGTACCAGTAAGGAATATAGTAAAAATGTAAATATACCAGCCCACATCTTATACCAGTACGGAATATAGTAAATATATAAATATACCAGCCCACATCTTATACCAGTACGGAATATAGCAAATATGTAAATATACCAGCCCACATCTTATACCAGTACGGAAAATAGTAAATATGTAAATATACCAGCCCACATCTTGTACCAGTAAGGAATATAGTAAATATATAAATATACCAGCCCACATCTTATACCAGTACGGAATATAGTAAATATATAAATATACCAGCCCACATCTTGTACCAGTAAGGAATATAGTAAATATGTAAATATACCAGCCATTACTAGTAAATAGATCTCATCAAATGTTAGAAATGGACAGACCACATTTAGAAATTTGCTGCCTACGACATTTTCCAACAACAAAATAATTAGAAATTAGAATATAATTACTGAAATTGAAAAAGTGCTTTTTTAATAATCAATCTTTTTTGATAATTATTTCGGTTCCTAGTTGAGAGCAATTCATCCTTTATTCTTCTCTTCTTTAGTTCTAACTCAGGCAGCAGATTCTGGGCAAACTGTTTCCGGTTTCTGAACCAGAAGTACACATTGTTTCTGGAAATAAGGATTTGCAAACAAAATGAACTCTTGAAAGAAAACAAGAAACATACTTAGAGTTTCTGCGTTGGATACTGTTCTTAGGTTTAAAATATAAATTAAACTTAATCCAATTATCAGACTCAACAAATTTTTCAGAATCAAATTTATACAAAACTACAGGATCAAGATCTATCAAGCCTATTACTCAAAAATGTTTAGGGTTGTAGCCTTGTAGGTTAGATAAAAAATACTTCTAAAATATGCCCGTGTTTTTATTCTTGAACATTACAGTGGTATCGCTAGTAAACATTGGACAGATTGTTATTTTTTCTTTCGATTAAAAAATGTGTTGTTGCAATTAAAGCTGATATCTAAATGTATAAAGTAGTAATCTCTGTTGGTCCGTCTGTTTTTATGAAAAGTCATGTCAAATTTCCCAAACTTGACAGCTTGATTATCATTAAAACTAAATTTATAGACCTGTTACAGAAATGGGAAAAATACTTTTCTACAGAACAGTCTTAACGTTTCATAAAGAAAAAAGTTATGAAAGGTTTGGGGGGGTGTAAGATGACAGAATTTTGACTCTCACATAGTTAATCACTGTTAATGTAATCTTAATTATAAGTTTTAAAATGTATTTAGATGAAATATCAGATATCTAAATTTAAACTTATTTGAAATTCCTCATTATCACCTTCACTTCCAACATTGATGGATTTTCAAAATTTCTAGTTCGATCCTGAATTTTGATATAACTAAATATGTTCGTAAACTGACGTATTTATTTAAAATGACTTTAAGTTATACATCTTTCTAAAATATTTTAAAAATATAGTCTTGCTTTTATCCTAGAGACGATTTAGAATCCATTTTCATTCATTTCATTCTTAAGATTTACAAAACGGCTATGATTATATAATTAGTAAATGTAGTACTTATAAAAGTTCGTCCCCCGAACTTTATCAGTCCAGGCACAACCAGTCCGCTATCTTAGGCAACCAGGACGCAACCCACCTGGCTCTAAATGCCACACAAGGACACAAGCGTAGCTATCAACAAGCTGTTACTCCCGCTCTAAATGCCACACAGGGATACAAGCGTAGCTATCAACAAGCTGTTACTTTGGCTCTAAATACCACACAGGGATACAAGCGTAGCTATCAACAAGCTGTTACTCCCGCTCTAAATACCACAAAGGGACACAAGCGTAGCTATCAACAAGCTGTTACTTTGGCTCTAAATACCACACAGGGAAACAAGCGTAGCTATCAACAAGCTGTTACTTTGGCTCGAAATAACACACAGGGACACAAGTGTAGCTATCAACAAGCTGTTACTTTGGCTCGAAATACCACAAAGGGGTACAAGAGTAGCTATCAACAAGCTGTTACTTTGGCTCTAAATACCACACAGGGATACAAGAGTAGCTATCAACAAGATGTTACTTTGGCTCTAAATACCACACAGGGATACAAGAGTAGCTATCAACAAGCTGTTACTTTGGCTCTAAATACCACACAGGGACACAAGAGTAGCTATCAACAAGCTGTTACTTTGGCTCTAAATGCCACACAGGGACACAAGCGTAGCTATCAACAATCTGTTAATTTGGCTCTAAATACCACACAGGGACACAAGCGTAGCTATCAACAAGCTGTTACTTTGGCTCTAAATGCCACACATGGACACAAGCGTAGCTATCAACAAGCTGTTACTTTGGCTCTAAATGCCACACATGGACACAAGCGTAGCTATCAACAAGCTTTTACTTTGGCTCTAAATACCACACAGGGACACAAGTGTAGCTATCAACAAGCTGTTACTTTGGCTCTAAATACCATACAGGGGTACAAGAGTAGCTATCAACAAGCTATATATCGATCCCAAATGACGATCCCACCTGCTTATCAAAACAGGGTTTAAGTTGAATGTACATATAAAAAGGGTTAAAGCTAACCATGCTACGTATTCATTTGAAACCCAGTTCAAATGAATAATGGTTTTTACGTAGAAGTTTACAAACATAGATAATTAATAATGTACAATGTACTGCAAATTTACAGAATACCATGTGAGCCGATATTTATTACATATATTTGTTGACCATAAATACAACTTCTAAACCCTCCCCCCCTCCCTGCCTTTTAAAAAAACCGGGTTTACATATTTTCAGAAGTATTTACAAATGTTTTAAACAATTCCATCAATCCCTCCAATAGAAATTGCTTGGCGGTAACATCTATCTTTCTATCTAACTCATTATCCAATTAGAGATGAATCCTTATATCGGCTCTATAACAGTAAATGGAAATATTTACTTCTATTGAAACTATAGTGCCTCAAACCCTATTCACTCCTTTTTATTGTTTACTATTCCTGCATTCTATTGCAGGTTTGAAATATATCTATTTACTGATTATTGGAGACTACAGTGTCCACGTTGAGGAGCCCGATCAACGAACCTATTGATCAAAGAACTTATCGACCAACCGACCAACCAACCAATCGACCAACCAACCAATTGACAAACCAGCCATCCTGACAAATTTTGTCGTCGCCCACTTACGTTTTTATATTATTGTCTAAATTGCCGTCTATTTTAAAAGAAAAATGATTGTTCAACATTTGAGATAAACGTATCCAATTTAAATAATGATATTTCTTTTATCAATTCATAGAGTTTGTATCCTGAGTCAAGTGATGAACATTTTTATATTAAGCAACAGATCTTTCAGATAAAAAGCTTTCCACGACTACTTTTTCATACAACATCTATTTTACAATTAACAACGCTAGTTATCATTTTCATAACTTTTGAGATTTGTCGATAATTTAATTTCCGTTTATTAATATATAACCAATTGCTCTTTTTAGACTTTTAAAACTACAGTAATTGCTTTTGCAGCTTTTCACTAGATAAAAGAGTAAAACACTCGATTAAAATAAAAACTAAGAATAAATCTTTTAATTACGCTGGGTTTACAATTGAAGAAATCCGTAAACATATCTAAAAAAATGTTCCAACTAAATAGAGAAAATCCTCCAAATTTGTTTGAAACTTAGCACGGGAAAGATGTCATCATCAGAAAATAATTCTCAGAAAAACACAGTGGAGGGTAATACAGAAGCTCAAGCCACACAAAAAGGTCAAGACAACCAAGCGAACCAGGAAAAACAAGAAAGTCAAGTGAGCGATGCGGAGAAACTAGAAAAAGAGAGTTCTGAGAAGCAGGAAAGCTCTGAAAAGCAGGACAGTTCTGAAAAGGAGGACAGTTGTGAGGAGCAGGAAAACTGTGAGAAGCAGGAAAGCACTGAGAAGCAGGATAGTTCTGGGAAGGAAGAAAGCTCTGAGAAGCAGAACAGTTCTAAAAAGCAGGAAAGTTCTGAGAAGCAGGAAAGCTCTGAAAAGCAGGACAGTTCTAAAAAGCAGGAAAGTTCTGAGAAGAAAGAATGTTCTGAGGAGAAGGAATGTTCGGAGAAGAAAGAATGTCCCGAAAATACGGAATGTTCTGAGAAGAAGGAGAACGAGGAGAAAAGTCCTTGGTACGTATGGACTCAGGATTCTTCTGAGAACCAGGAGAAGGAGAAGAACTTGAAGACAGAAAAGAGTGAAGAGAAGCAGGAAAAGCCGGAAGATGAAAAGAGTCAGGAGAATCAGGAGAACGAGGACAGCAAGGAAAAGCCCTGGTACTTGAAATGGACTCAGAGTTCAAAAGATGAAGAAAGCAAAGAAAATGCAGACAACCAATCTGAGGAGGAAGGACAACAGAAAGCGAAAGATGAAGAGACCACCAAGAAACCACAGAATCAGGAAGACCAGAAGAATAACAAGAATGAGAAAAGTCCGTGGGATAAGTGGACCAAGGACCCAAAGAATGAGAAGTAGATTTTAAAGAAGTTTTTCGTAGTTTTTTTTATTTCCATTAGAACACAAGAATAAAAAGATTATTGTTAAATCATTTCTAGAAAATATAAATTATTCTTTAAATCCATTTTGAATTTAAAGTGATTCTGTAAGTAGAAATGTTTGAATACATCTCCTAGTCATTTATCAAAAACTTAGAAAAATATAAAAACTTTAAATACGGCTGGAATATAATATCAAGATGAACTGAAATTCAAGTGAAAAATCGTGTTCAGAATTAATTATTCTTAACTTTCTTTCCATTAAACAAAGTATTGTGATATTGAGATTGTTGTTTATACAGATTTTACGGGAGTTTAAATTATCAATTTTAAAGTCCTCTTAAATTTGATGAAGGAAGTGTCTAAGATGTCCTAAATATTTGAAAACATATCAAATAAGAGTATATATATACATATATATATATATATATACGTAGGTTTAATAAAAAATGCCACGCAGATTAAAATATTTTTTCTCGAAATCGCAATCGGTCTTGTTCAAAGTTAAACAATTTTCTAAATGTTTGCTAATATATATCTCCACACGTTTCCGATCCGTCAACTATATTTGATTGATCAACTTTGAGTGCAGAGTATACAGGGAAACTACTCAATCTGTCACCATGGCTCAGAGGTCAATTTTTAGCACATGTAAACTGTGTAGGTTACATTTATTTTCATTCTAAATGAAATAAAACAATTATTTACAAAAATGTTAAAAAATGTTAAATGTTGCCGATCTCCTCATACTCTGATTTTATAATCTTTCGTCGTGTAGATCGTCGATATATTAAACCATGAATTCGGCTACAGCCTACATCAAATATTCAAAGTTAAGAAAGTCAAAGGTATACACCATCAATCAGGTTGCAAACATTTAGTGATTAGATATTTTAGAATATTCCAAATTTTTAAATATTTTTTATTCAATCGAGAAAAGTTAAAACTACACGATAATTGCACAGAAATGCACAAGGACGGTTTGTATATGTTTTTCCTATATGTGATAATTGGTCTTTTTAAAAGTGCTCTAACAGACATTAGGTGGATTTCATTTAATATTCAAGAATACCGAATTAAACCTTCAGTTGCCACAAAAGAATTGGGCCGATCGGTTCAGCCGTTTTGAAATTTATGGATACAAACAGACGAACAGAAAAGCAAAGAATATATATATAGATAGATAAATATATCATATTTGTGTCTATAATAGATATATATTATATTATATTATAATCTATAATGGATTTAAAAAAACTTTATTATCCTGGGATTATTCTAAAAGTTTAATCTACAAATAGAATCCCTTCTAAGAAAGTTGAGGGCTTCATAGTTGTTACAAGTGCATACTTAAGTATGATCAATTGTAGCTGCAGGTGCCCTAAACATGTATCTGAACGCAATATTATAATCATTATAATCAGCCTATTTAAATCCACACAAAATCATTTTCATGTCTAATAATCCTGGAAACGTAGATCTTTATTAAATGTTTCTTGTAGCTTTTGTTTATGTTGTCATAAGAAAAAAAACATATATAGCTTTGATCACTTGAAAAATAGGTAAATTCCCCAACTTAAACTCAAAAAAGTTTTCCAGAAGTGTGGTCTGTTTTCCAGAAGTGTGGCCTGTTTTCCAGTTCTAAGTGTAGTCTGTTTTCCAGAAGTGTGGTCTGTTTTCCAGAAGTGTGGACTGTTTTCCAGAAGTGTGGTCTGTTTTCCAGAAGTGTTGTCTGTTTTCTAGTAGTGTGGGCTGTTTTCCAGAAGTGTGGTCTGTTTTCCAGAAGTTTGGTCTGTTTTCCAGAAGTGTGGACTGTTTTCCAGAAGTGTGGTCTGTTTTCCAGGAGTGTGGTCTGTTTTCCAGAAGTGTGGTCTGTTTTCCAGAAGTGAGGTCTGTTTTCCAGAAGTGTTGACTGTTATCCAGAAGTGTGGGCTGTTTTCCAGAAGTGTGGTCTGTTTTTCAGAAGTGTGGTCTGTTTTCAAGAAGTGAGATCTGTTTTCCAGAAATGTGGTCTGTTTTTCAGAAGTGTGGCCTGTTTTCCAGAAGTGTGGTCTGTTTTCCAGAAGTGTGGTCTGTTTTCCAGAAGTGTGGGCTGTTTTCCAGAAGTGTGGGCTGTTTTCCAGAAGTGTGGTCTGTTTTTCAGAAGTGTGGTCTGTTTTCAAGAAGTGAGATCTGTTTTCCAGAAATGTGGTCTGTTTTTCAGAAGTGTGGCCTGTTTTCCAGAAGTGTGGTCTGTTTTCCAGAAGTGTGGTCTGTTTTCCAGAAGTGTGGGCTGTTTTCCAGAAACGTGGGCTGTTTTCCAGAAGTGTGGGCTGTTTTCCAGAAGTCTGTATAATGAATTAAATCTCGTCGATGCGTGAACTCCGTGAACTAGAAATACAATCCTTTTCTAAACTGACATTTACTATGTAGATATACATGTATAAACATTTTATTTTTAATCTGAAAACGTTACTTCTACAGATTTAGAAACAGATCTAACGTCTAAGAATGTTCCTGCTAAGCTAGATTCAAAATTTGATAACAAATTGCTGAACATAATTTCTGTTCAGTCTCAGCTGCGTTTTATGCATTTAACTAATCATCTATATAGAATTTGCAAATATTTGTGAAAAATTTGCAAAGTTTTGGCCAATGTTTGAGGTATTCATGCTTTACATCTCGTCTACACGCTTTCTATAGCGGGTAGAGAAGATAAACGGAGAAAAGTAAAAACATATGTCACACAACTGACAGGACACCCAACAGACGTAAACTCTTTCATCTTATTTCTTGAGAAATCGGCTTGTTTAGATTCATGATAAGCAGTGAGCAGAGATTCATTTTCGTAAAAAATAACATAAATTTCACTATAAGGTGGTAATTTATTTGGTGTTTCGTCCTGTTTTGTTTTATTTAGTCTGTACGTGTACTCCACAGCTTGCTCTAGATTCTTAAAAGTCGGCCCGGGGCACTTAAAAAACGGGGTTTACATTTACAGTGCCAGGCTACATTTGTTGCATAAAACGTGCTGCGTCGACTCTGCACTAGGTAGCCTGACTGGACAGTACGACTGAATGCATAAACATGTAGTACGTGATGTACAGGCAGGAATCATGCAACTTTTAGACTGGGGTGAGACCAGTACAATGTACATTGTACAGTGGTAACTGTAAAATGGTGGAAGGGTTATATTCTTCTTTCTTTTTTTAACTTTTAAGAAATGTTTCTAATTAATGATTTTGTATTTTGTATTCATTAAAACTAATCTATATTTCTAAAAATGTTCAGAGTACAAGTTTAGAAATTTTATAAAAATTACAAGAAAAAAAAATAGAGGACAACATTCATTCCACCGGTTTCTGGATACCACCAGTGAACAATGTACACACCCTGCAGACCATATTCAGAAGCACCTGTAGCTAATATTCTGTGGACATCCTGCAGACCATATTCAGAAACACCTATAGCTAATATTCTGTGGACATCCTGCAGACCATATTCAGAAACACCTGTAGGTAATACTCTGTGGACATCCTGCAGACCATATTCAGAAACACCTGTAGGTATTACTCTGTGGACACCCTGTAGACTTCATTGAGCACCCTGTTAAAAGATTGTATTTGCGGTTTATGAGATACTTATATTGATCAAATTGTTTAATGTTCCATATTATTATAATGGAAAATATTTTACATTAAATACCGGGTCACCTTTATTTTACGGCTAAAGTATATATTAGAAATAAAGGAAAAACAAGACAAAGAATGAAATGTATCATGTTTAGAGTAAGAAATGTAACTTTACACATTTCGCGCATGCAGACGTTTTCCAATAACTAAATATAACAAATGCCTAAGTTTAAATAGTCTTTAAGCAGCCAGAATGCAATTGGCCTGCTGAGAATCAACTTTTTTTTTAAAGCGGGAACCTCATTTTAAATTGTAAAGTTAAAAACTGGGTACGATCACTTTCGAAAGTTTGGCACTTATACTGATAGATTGACAGTTGTTAAAGAAACGAGAGAAAACATCAAATATTGTAGAAAAAAATTTAGGCGTAGAACATAGAAAATATTTACTTTCCAAGCTCGCTAAAAATATATATTTATTTGAACAAAAATAGACAAAACAAGCTCTGAACATGTTTATAAATTATATATTAATCATGTCTTGGTTAATATTTATTTTTAACCTGTGTGAAAAAATCTAATTTTGACCCCTTCTCCCACTGTTTTATTTTAATCTCAATGAAAGTGCTTAGTCTCGAGAATTCGACTTGTTTGAATTTAAAACAGAGAAATAGACAGATATAAAACACAAATATTTGCATATTTGATTAATTTTTGAAAATACAAATTAGCAAATTGGGCAGGGATTTAGAATTTGAATTAATTTTAGGGAATTTTATGGTTGGGGGGTGTTGGTGGGGGGGGGGGGTTTTCCAAAAGATTCGAAGTTTTCCGAAACATAGAAATTCCCTTTCTCTTGTTGAACTTTGCTTTTAATACTTTAGGTTCAGAAATGTAGTCATAATGATATCCAGGTATTCAGAAATGTAATTAAAATGGTATCCAGGTATTCAGAAATGTAGTCATAATGGTATCCAGGTATTCAGAAATGTAGTCATAATGGTATCCAGGTATTCAGAAATGTAGTCATAATGGTATCCAGGTATTCAGAAATGTAGGCATAATGGTATCCAGAAATGTAGGCATAAAGGTATTTAGGCATTCAAAAATGTAGGTATAATGGTATTTAGGTATTCAGAAATGTAGGGATAATGGTATTCAGGTATTCAGAAATGTAGGGATAATGGTACATCCCCCCCAATTTTTCATGGGGGACCCCCTCCCTCGATTCCTTCGCAGGAAATTTTTACAAAAGATTATAAGGTGTAATAAAGGAAAATAAGAAAGTTCAGAGATATATAACATACTTAAATATCTCCATTACGTCCAACGAATTCAAAATTAAAACATTCTAATTATTAAAATTACAATTTTTAAAGATTTTGTTTTCTTTAAAAAATTTTAACTATCTAATATATAATTTTTAATATTTCTAAATTTTCT